TTCGCTGATTAAGATGAGGAGCTTGGTGTACAAACAATTTTGCACGAAATCAACGAATTTTGCGGTTTATATAAAGAGCTGGCCGTACTCCAGTAGGAGCTTACACGGGTAATGCGTACTCCGTGCTTTACAACGGCAGTTGTAGAACCGCTGTACATCACAACCCTTGGCCAGCCATCGATTTTCAATCGAACGGTTGCCAGAGCTCACACACTGACACGTGTGGCGTCATCACGCCATAAACAGCCCCAGATAAAAATTCGAGGAAAAACATTAATAAACATAATAATAGTTCGGAAAAGGGGGGAAAAGGTGGGTCGAAAGCGATGCACAGTTGGACGCAGCGCCTGTTGGCCGCGGCGACAACGGCCGGCGTCCTCCTGGCCGCCGCCTGCGCGGCCGCCTCCGCGCTCGACGCCTTCCACGCCCCCACCGTCCAAGCCCAAGCTCATGTATCGATCTCATCCTCTCCTCGCTTGTTTAACTATTCTGAACTTGGTGCGATTCGCGACTGAAACCCTTGCGGCGAAGGGTTTCGAGGGTCTTTCGGGGCGATTAGTGTGGTAAACTGTATAGAAGTCATGGATTCTAGGATATTCGTTGATATCATCGACTTATTTATATGCTATAGCTGACTGGATTGTGCAATTGTTTGCTGGATCAAGTATCTAGACTTCTAGACACTGATTTCAGTAGATAACCTTTGCGAGCGAATATGATTCTGACAGTTGCAGAAATTGTAAAGCTATTCTCGCAGTATCATTTACACCAATGTAGCTATGCCTATGCTCACATACGAATCTCCTTTTTTGGGCCGCAATTCTGCATTGACCACATAGAGAAACATGGTTCAATCAACATGCTTGCTTATTGTGTTATCAGTATTCTTATGTAACTTATCTTGTAGGTTACAAAGATCAACCGGTTCCACAAACAGATCAATGGCAACGACAAGGTTTGTGCCTGGTGCTGATCTAATTCCAACCATATTTCTCATCCAGAAAGGTTATGATCGAAGCATGATTCTTTCATCTAGTTAAGGGTTAGGTTTACAGATATCAAATCTACTGCTTAAGAGCGGTCTCATATAATAAAATAGCATACCAGCATGTTCTATGTTGTTGCAATCTATTTGTTGTTTGCCAAATTGTTCCATACTTATCCTGCAAGGTTTAGCCCTCTTCTCATTGTACAGAAATCTTGTTTAAGAGAATTAGCATGATTATATTTCAGTTTTATGGGATAAATTGCACACTGCAAGCTTAAGCAAAGCAATTCCCTTCAATTTTCCACACTGATAATTAATGGGCTTTTCTAGTTCAACAAACTTAAGCAAAGCTTACTTTCTCCTTTCCTTGTAAACCTGTATTAGACTCTGGAAACAAGAAATATTTTCTAGTTGATAAGATGTGAAACTTTCTTGTACATGATGCCTTTTCTTACTGAATGCGGGCCATTTTTTACTTGTTCCAGTCACCTATTGAACAAATTGTCAAGTACTAACTCCATGAATTCTACTGCATATCCTATAAAATAATAGGTTTTCAAAACCATCTATTTTTCTCCAAGATATCAATTCTTATCTCAAATGGAGTCATCCGTACCATTACAGGGATATATTTCCTTCACACATGCTGCAATCAGATGCATCACATACATATTCTATTCCACTCCAAATGACAAACTTGTAAATTTGTCTTTCAGGTGACATTGACTTTCAATGTATCTGCGGATTTGGAGTCACTATTCACTTGGAACACAAAACAGGTGATACTTTGGTTGTGGTGCAGCACGGAATAGCAAACTATCTCATGAATGTGTATAAGCACAAAATTGAGCACTTTTGCTGCGGGCCCACTAAAAAATGATGAGTGTACGTTTCAAATGAAAATTGCTTACATGCCTATGATACATTTAGAACGACCTTAACAGTGAATAAAATAGATGCATGTCAAATCCAAATGCTGTTCATGTGACAAGAGTGTATAATTGCTTGAGTTGCTACTTTGCTACTACATCAGTGCTACCAATTTCTCTTGCAGTATCTGTGTTACACTCCACACTATATTCATGAATATTTCTAACTACATTAAGGTTCCATGAAACTCAGCGTCAGTAAATCAAAGTGCTGGTGTGCTGGAGGGAGCATCATATAAGAAAAACTTCTAGTTGTGGTCCTCCCATACAGAGGCGGAACCAGGATTTTTTATTAAGGGGGGCCGAACAATATGATAACACCTCGTAAATGTGATAAATATATGTATCAAGTGTATATCTCAATAGTTTTTCAATACTTTTACATATATATTTAGTATTCATAGCAAAAAATCACAGTATTATCATAAAAAATGTATGAAATCATAATTTTTATGCTATATATTATATGCTATTAAACATTTTTCACTGTGTGTTAGGGGGGCCACAGCCCCTGCTGGCCCCCCCTGGTTCCGCCGTTGCTCCCATACTGTTGTATGCCATTATAAACCTTTTTTTTATCTTTTCAGTTCAGCAACAAATAATGATTTAAAAATTTTATTGGTGATATCTTTTATACTAAAATTGCTGTGTCCAACAAATAATGGTTTACATGGGTACTAGAATGTACCCATGTAAATGAAAAGATTAGGCATATTTGAGGCAGTTTTTTTTATTGAACAGGAGAACTGCATGTCATTTCATTAAAAAGAAATATTTGAGGCAGTTTATAAAACATATTTACTGAACAATTTATGTAGCAATGCTCATTCAGGAACACTGCCAAACCACATATCATTTCAACAATCACTACATGCTGTCATGTGTCATGACTATTGCCCTCTATAGACAGACGGTAATTGAATTGTTTTCTTGATACAGGTCTTTATCTTTCTGACAGCTGAGTACGAAAACGCGAAAAATTCCCTGAACCAGGTAAGCTGCCATTCATGACTTACCATTTTCGACATGCATCCTGTCTGTATAAGTCTTTTTGAGAACATAGAACTGGTTGGAATCAATGATTGCTTGAATCTTGAAATCTTCCTTAGTCACCTTAGGATAAATTAATAACTTGTACGTGGGTGTCCATCTTGGTGTTTAGTAAAAATGTAGTAGCATCTAAGCATCACTAAATTGTATCACATAATTAACTAATGTACTGGTCTTTGTTAGATGCTACTGGCTTTTTTGTGAACATATGTTCCTGCTATCCAAGTTGGGCAAAGTTCATTCAGGGAAATCTCCTTACCATGAATGACAAGCGACAGTCTGACATGAAAAATTCAAGTTACTGCTTGTCTTGAGATGGCGGTGGGTGATTAGTGGGTGGACAATAGCATAGACAGTCTTGCGACGTATCCTTACGTGGCCCTGGACCTCTAGGCTCTAGGCCGTGGTTTGGGGGGCAGCAATGGCACACTGTGACCTGGAGGCAGGAACAGTATGAGGGAGGATAAGATATATTCGATCTATTGCCTATTGGTTAACTTATCTAAATGCTCACAACCTCCATTTATAGGCTGGGGTACACAATCACACGGATCTGGCGAACCTCCTAACAACCAATAGTTTATTTATCTAAACTGAAACTCAGTTTCCAAATTGCTTACTACTGCACTAACTCTGAACGACCTGCCCTTGCTCTGAATTTCTCTTTCGAACTGAACACCAGAATTGCCCAGAATCTGTCCTGCTTCAGCCACTTCCCTGTGGTGCAGCTGCGTCAGGGTCCAGCACAGGCTTGCGATCCTTCCTCTTCTTGCGCCTCTCATATTTGAGCCCCCACATCACAATGTGGACACTAGTGCCATACTGTCATGTTTGGTCTATAGTTTAGGAGGGTCTCTTTAGCCCTGTCACTAACGTTTTCATTTTTGTGGAAATTGCCCTGTTCTATGTAATATGCCAGACAGTTGACACTAATATGAGCATGTGGCTGAACTCTTGTGATAATCTGGCACTTGTATCTAGTTTGCAGTGACTGCTAAACAGTAAAATTTCTTATTGAACTATTCTAGCAAGTCATTTCTAAAACTATTCAGGGTTTGTTTTGTTTGTGGAACGAAGTATTTCATTGTCATCTCACTCTTTTGTTTTTTGTTTGGTTTGTGGAATATAATGAGTTGATCCATCACCACCTCATTCCTCACAAGTATAATTAGTATACTAGTATGAGGAATGGGGGTCATTCCACTAATTTGAGGAATAGGCTCATGTGATGCATCACCTCAGCTAGAATGAGTTAATTCCACAAAACCAAACACTCCATTAGTTTTTTAGGTCATCCTGAGGCTACGTAGTTGAATATTAGATCAAGTACTCTGGTTTGTATTCGAGTGGCTGATGGATCAATGCTTCAAATTAATCTGTTCGGCAGGTTTCGTTGTGGGACCATATTATACCTGACAAGGACCTTGCAAAGCTGCAACTAGAGGTGAAGAGCAAGTATCCCCTGATAGACCAGGTAAAGTTTTTTTTTTTTCGTATTGCTTTTCATTGGCTTGCGCCCTGAGCTGAGTTTTTCTTGACAATACTATGCAATTCCTCACCTCAGGGTAGCAGTCTGCGCGGGAAGACGGTTCAGTTTGTTCTGCACTGGCATGTTATGCCCAATGCTGGTGCCATGATCAGAGATCGGATGGCGCTCTCGGAGTTCACACTGCCTGACTCCTATACCTCTTGAAAGAAAAGCTTATTGATCTGGGAAGAACCCTCTAATTTAACCCTTTTTCTAATCCGGCATCCACAATTGGTGCCTAGACGAACGCAGGTCTGATTCCAGTAAGTGCTGACAGCTGCATATGAAATATTTTGGATATTCGATCAAGCGCTGAAGCATTGAATGAATATCAGAGGGTGGTTCGGAGTTACAGATGACGATTATTTTTATTCACCCATGCTCGATTGAGCAGGGACGCTCATACATAGATGATAGATGGATGGAAGCCGCGACGGCTTATTGATGGCGTGTAGCGTGGAAAACATTTGCGTGAGGTGAGCTAGCTCAGGAGGCCGTGCCGAGCCTAGTTCTTCTTGCATGGTGGGCCGCACATGCCGAGGAAGGTGTCGGTGCACTGGAACTGCTTGACGGGGTACTTCTTGACGACGGTGCAGACCTTGCCGACGGGGTCGCACTTGCCGACGATGTCGTCGCAGGTGTAGAGGCCGGAGAAGGAGAAGTTGCACTTGGTGCAGCACCCGAGCTTGCCACCGTTGCTCTCCATGTTGCCCTTGCTCTCGCCCACGGCAGCTGCATCCACGCGTTTGAGTTCACATCAGTTTGAATCTCGTTCATGCATGACAATCTTTCTCTACCTGCTCGCCATTTTTTTTTATCGTAGCTGCACCTAGCAAATATGCGGCGATCTGGGATAGATGTTATTTGGCGATCTCTATTGTTTTCTAGTGGTGCCTGGTGCGGATTGCCATCTACAATCAGGTTCAGGATGGTACGTTGGATCCAATCATGCTATAGCCTGGGTTTGTTTGCGCATAGCAAGTGGAATGGCAGTGACAGTGAGTGGTCCACCCTAATATGGCAAGATCTGTTTGGTTGGTGTATAAGCTGTTTTTGCTGATTTGTACAGCTGATTTGTTGGAAGAGAAAAATACTGTACCATGGCTGATAAGCCGGCTTATAATGGCAGCCGAACAGAGTCTATGAAAAACTGATGGCCTTACCGGCTTAGGGCTCGTTCGGTTCTTCAGTAAGGGTTCCTAGAACAATTCCTTGTTAAAATGCTTTACTAATTTATATAATCTCGGTAAGCTGGAATGATTCCTATGGCCAATCCTAGAAAACCGAATGGGCCTAAGAGAAAAATCTTGAGGGTATAATCCTCTCATTGGTCATCCCTTGAGCTCTAGTGCATTGCATCAGTGCAGAAAAATAGCGTACCAAGGACAGAGGTGACAATGCGCCATGGGTTATGTTTGTGTTCTGTCTGGTATAGTTGACAAACGAGTTACCAAATCCAGTTTTCGTAAGTCGTATGGTTATGATTCCAATGCGAATTTGGCAGAACTAATCTAACTGATGCACAAAACATCTGATCGTACTTTTTAGTTGTTCCCATAGACACATTGTTAAAACGCACGAAACTACAGACCATTGATCTCTCACTCTCAGGGAAAAAAAGAAACGAGCGAACTAATTGGTAATCTCGGTGAAAATTTTCAGCATCTACACGTACCGTTTTCTTTAGCCACAGCTGCAAACATTCCAATGACCAGAACTGCCTGGAGAACCAGGATCACAAACAGCGTGCTGCTCTTCATCTTCACTAGTTGTACGTAAGACGTTTTCCCCACAGCTCTCTGACTTTGTTGCCTCTACTTGTAGAATGGCCCCGTTCAGCTTACCCAGAAATCGACTTATTCGGCTTGTTTTTTCAGCCGGAACAGTGTTTTTCTCTCACAATAATTCAGCCAAAATAATGTTTTTTAGTCAATTTCAGCTAAATTTCAGCAAACCGAAATGTTTTGTGTTGCTGCTGGTGGCCAAAGCACGGTATATATAGGCGTCCAGATAGACGGGAAAATGGCATCTCACCATACCATCGAATATCTTTTCGGAAACACCAGTTAGGCGGCCGTTAGAGGCGGCTAGTTGTGGAAGGCATGCATCTATATCATTTAATTAATGCTGGCCCTACGTCCTCATCAGCATGGTCCAAGCCAAGCGCGCAGCAGTGAGCCAGCCATATCTATTAAGCCTAATTAATCCACGGTGGCTACCAGTTATGTCAGATTTTATTGAAGCCTTCCATGACAAAGCAGTAAAACCATAATCCCCGACTTGCCATAAGAGAAAGGCTAATAATATAGCTGGTTGATGGCTGTAAGGATCTTTACAGCCTCTAAGCCCATCATATATAGTTAGCTCTTCACTATTGAATACATAATCAACTTACCTCTTTTATAAGGTTTCTTAGTTTTTAGGTCTAAGCTGGTTGTATCAACATCAACATTTAGCCTACTTACAGCCGGTTATTATACTTTTCTAAGTGTTTGTGATATTGTGCCGGTGCCTATCCCCATTCCGCTACCTTGAAAGGAAATCAAAACTTAACCTGAAGCTCGGAAGCTGTTAGGTTTAGCTCCACTGAGCTCATCAGTGGTGTCGAAATCAAGATGGCGAGCGTACATACGCCGTGCCGGTAGGCCGGCCGCTCGTGGCTCCGTCGCCCGGCCGCATTAGGCCATGTATAATGCAGAGCTACTTGTGCATACGCTTAAAGAGAGAGAAACAATAAAAGAGCTTTACTCTACAACGCAACGGACTCTTACTAACTTTTTTTTTTGTTTAAACCGAGATCCTAGGGACGTCCCCTTGCATCAGGCGCCTGGGGCGTCGGCCGCTTGCACGAGCGGCGATGTCGGGCTGAAGCGCCTCCCTATCCTCCACCGTGGCATAAAAAAGTCTCAACTGCTCATAAGCGCCCTGCCGTGTGTGTGCGTTGTACAAGCCCTTACATGCATGATGCATGAACGCGACGGCCCAACCACGCGCTGAAATATGTAAGGCCGCGGGCGACGGAGCTCCTGGCTCGGCAAACCCTGCGGCTGTGTGGCACGGGTGCCTCGTGCGGCCGTGCCCGCATGCAGGATGCAGGCACGTGCACGCGCAGGCAAGCCGTTTGCTGGTGTGGTGGCGCCTGGCATCTCGCCATGTCAAGCCATTTGCTGTACTCCAAACTTTCTCCTTAATGAAATCGGTAGTGCTAGCGCTTGACATCCGGATGGATGCCCGCGCGCTGCACTCCGTTTCACGTGCTCCACGCGGGGCCCGCGCCACCCGAGCGACAAGAAGGGAGGGGCACAGTGCCTTCGATTCAGAAGGACTCGGCCGCGGCGTCATATGGATGCCCTGTCGGCGTCGTGAGGAGGACACACTGAGACGATGCAGCAAAATGTGTGTGTGTGTGGGGGGGGGGCAGGTGCAACACCTGATCTACTTTTAAAACATCCAAATACTACAGTTGCAACATACGTCTGAAGGCATTTGAAACACTTGAAACATGTTTATGAAACATTTGAAAACCATTGCAACATCCAAATAAAACGTATGTGTGAAACATATGCAACATACAGATAAACACAGATGAAACATACCTCTAAAACATCTTAAACACTCGAAACGTACGCTTGCAAGGTGCCTCTGAAACAATTGCAACATGTGCAACATCTCCTGATCTACTTTTACGACATCAATATGAAACAATTACAACATACATCTGTAACGCCTAAAACACTTGAAACATATATATGCAATATAGGGAAGGGGAAGGCTGGGCCGATCGATTCCGGTCGTCGGGGTCGGAGACGGCGGCGAGCGGCTACACGTGAGCACCACAGCCACCAGAACCGGGGTTGGCTCAGCGTCGCCGGGGTGGGAGGAGCTCGGTCACCAGGTGAGAGGGCGCCATTGGGGGTGGGGAGGCGTCGCACCGGGGTGGGGGTGACCCGCTCACTCCTCTGTAACACTGCAGCGCTACCTCTATGGATCTTGCTCGTGCTCTATGGATCTCACCGGGGCAGGGGAGAGGACCACCGGACCCGCAAGCGTTGGGCACTCTCGGTGGGTGAGAATGCTTTGGGGGGGGGGGGCGTCTCCGAGGTTGGGGAGGAGCCGCTGGGGTGGGGAGGAGGACGCCAGGGTAGGAGAGAACACATGTCGGGGTGGGTGAGGGCGTTGCCGCCGGCCAGGAAGGCAGCCATGGCCGCACGTCGAGGTGGGGTGGGGCACGAGCGTGGAAGGGAGGAGGAAGTGAGGGATTAGGAGGGAGAGTGACTAGAGTGAAGCGTCCGTCCGGACGTCTTAGTTGGAGTATTATCGTAATGAAATACACGTGCAGCTCACGTTCTCGAAAAAAAAACGTGCACGCCGAGCGGCGAAACGACATATTACGACTTGCGAGTACCCAATCATGTATCTATCCACGGGCCACGGCTCCGTAGCTACCTAACAATCATCGACATCGATCGTCCACGTGAACGTTCGTCGCACGTCATTCTGGTTAGCATATAATTTTTTCATTATTTGAATATACAGAAAAATATAATTTTTTCTTGTGAACCGTTCTTTTAGTTATATTAATTTATTGTGTAAGATTGTTTTTTTTAATAAATTCTTACAAAACGGGAGGAGCGCAACGCCAGGTGCTTTCGTGACTCATCAGCCTCCACGAACGTGCTTCTCTCCAAATCATAAAGGCTGAAGCTGATCGTTGGATCGAGGCCGGAGCTTGGCGGCGTTAGCGGCTTCTTAGTCTGGGTTCTAGTTCTGAATCCATGGTTGTTATCGTTCAAGATGTAATCCTTTGTAAACACGGCATTTTTGTATCATAAACTTTCTACTATCTTAATACAAAGATATGCACATTCATGTATATCGAGAGAAAAAAAATTCTTACAAATTCAAACACTTGAAATATAGCAACTATGTATATATTATATATTATTTATTCTGGTTAGCTGCTAGTAATATTATTCATTCTTGGTCCGACGCGCATCATGCATGTAGATGGATGATCATTCGGGATTAGCTAGCAGGCAAACGAGTTCATTTGTTTTCTTTCAAAGTTTTCTAGGATTTTTATCCTCGTGGGAATATCATATTCATAGTGTGTAGTGTTCTTTGTTATCTCGAGTTGTAGTTTAGAAGAGATTGGTTCCGTGTCTCTTATTATATACACCCTCTATCCTAAAATAAATACACATCTCACATTTTGAAAAGTCAATTAATCTTAAATTTGACCACGTATATATAAAAAAGTACTAATATTTATGATACTAAATAGATATCATTAATTAATTAGATTAATCATGTTATATATTTTCATAGTAAGTCTATTTAGAAGTGCAAATATTAATGTCATTTTGTATAAATTTAGTTAAACTTGAGATTGATTGAGTTCTTGGAGTCAAAATGTGAACTTATTTTGGAACGGATGGATTATATATATATATATATATAAGGGGAAAAAAACTCCAGTGTCCACGCATGCCCATAGCATCACCATTTTTGTGAATAACTTTATTTTATTTATTTATTGCAAACAACGGCTTATTGTTGGCGTGCAACGTCATCGAGAACAAGAATCGAACACACAAACCCACAAGCACAATGACACACAGTAGGTTATTCATGCACCGGCGGCGAAGACTGAATGAAGCATTCTTCATTTCTTCTAGCAGTTTGGGCCGCACATGCCGAGGAAGGTGTCGGTGCACTTGAACATCTTGGCCGAGTAGGTCTGCACGGCGACGCACTTCTTGCACACGGGGTCGCAGTCCTTCTTGACGTCGTCGCAGGTGTAGAGACCCGAGAAGGAGAAGTTGCAGTTGGTGCAGCACTTGAGCTGCCCCGGGTTGATGTCGATGGCCTTGCTCTCGCCCACGGCTGCATGCAGGCACGCATCAATTTTCAATCCATGCGTCATAATAATCATGCATGGTAACACATGCATAGACTCATTCAGATCAGTCAACCAGTATATGATGATTAGAATCATAAGATCGTCGATCAAGGAACGCACCATTTTTTCCCTCAAAAAGAAGAAGAAGGAACGCACCATTTTCTTTAGCCACGGCGGCGAAGATCCCCATGACCAGAGCGGCCTGCAGGCACAGGATCACCAGGAGCGTGCTGCTCTTCATGGTCTCGGTCGGCGACGTGGTCGTCAGACGAGCTGTTTTTCTTTTTCCTCTCTGCCTCTTCTCGTAGAAGCAAGCTGTGTTGCTGTGTTAATTTTGCTGGTGCCAACGACAGCGCTGGGAGAAGCTACTTATAGGCGCCGAGATCAGAACATGGCATTGCCGCCGTAGTCCTGCAATCGCATTTTCTTTTGGGGACGATGGATGGATATGCTTCCAACTCGTGCATTTTGTTATTTGTTAGGCGAAACTTTGACTCATGGCTGCGAGTCGTATGGTATAACAACCCATTTCCTTCTCATGATCATGTCCAGTCATCCTCGTCAGCATATATATATTCGGTCCAAAATGGACGGAAGTGATGACGTTTACGTATATCAGCATAATTTTGTGGCTAAGGCGCAGCTGGATTATAGTAATACGGTATGCATTAATCCTAACCTTGACCGTGCATGCTATTTCAACAGGATGTAAATTAATGGTATAATCGGAATATACAGTAATGTATATTCATATATCTGCAGTGGTAAGAATATGTTACCACTGCAACAGTCGTGTGTAGAGTTGTACGTGCCCTAAGAGCATTTTCAGCGGTAGGAGAAAATCTCAACCCCAAAACT